TCGAGCGCGAGAACTGACTCGCCGCGACGATAAATCAGCCACCGAAGAGCCAGGCCCAGACCTACAGTTTAGTGGCCTTTTGCTCCCCTTTCATGAAATTACCTCTCACTACCAAAACGACAGAAGCCAATACCCTTTACGACATGCAAAGCTCAAACGCTCGCAAGAGACTGCCTTTCGCATGCTACAAACGAGTTTTTGCCCCCCCACGGGGCCGACTCAGCCGTTGCAATTCGAACATAAATCCACAATGCCCAGACTGGGGGGGAAGTGGTTCTTAGAATTGGAAAAGAAAAGAAAAGTGAACCCCGCAACTGTCTGCAGCTAAGTGCCACACCTCAGCAGTGGTTCACAGGGGAAGGGGAATGGGGGGTAATAGACTTGAGCGAAGAGATGAAAGAAGAAGGAGAGAGCGAACGAAGAGACCGAAAAGGAAGGGGTGGAGCATACAGATCGTCTACCAATATAATGGGGCGCGAATTTTCCAAATTCGCTCACGCAGTCCGCTTCCGTCAACAAAGTCGAGCAGCGCTGAAAGGGCACGCTTGATATGCGCGCGGCCACTGTTCGGGAACAAGAGGTGCTCAGTTTGTTGTCTGAGGCCGGCCGAGAGCTCCGTACGTTGCGAGCATCACCTGTCTGCTCGCATCACCAGCCGGGCAGTGAAGCAAAATGTGGTCCAGAGTCTCCAGGTCGCCACAGTCCATACAGTATGGACTGCCACGCCCGGAGTGCCGATGTTGTCGCTCGGCCACAGAACACCTACCTGGCTCGGCGATGTAGTTGTCTCCGGTGCGGAGACGGAGAAGGAAACCGCGGTCTCTTATTGGTAATCCCTTGAGAGGGAGCCGCCGAGGCGGCTTTCCAGCTGCTACACGAGGATAGGGATGACGCTCGCGCACGTAGCGGGCGGTGAGGAGACGGCTGGCATCCGCAGAGCACACGAAGTTGGTGACGCCGGTGTACGGGTCGTGCGCATCCCTCGCGGCACAGTCTGCCGCCTCGTTGCCGGGTACTCCGATGTGTGAAGGCACCCAGTGCAGCGAAAGGTCGCAACCTGTTTGCTGCACGGCGTGTAGCTTCCGGGCAACTCTCTGCGCAAGGAGGCTGCCGTCTTCTTCGCACGAGATTGCGGCCAAGGCAGCCCTGGAGTCGCTGATGATAGCTGTAGCGCTCATGCGTGCCCGCTCACTCAGGAAATCGGCTGCCAATTTTATAGCGGCGAATTCCACCACAGTGGAGGAAGCGAGGGAGGGGAGGCAGCACTTGAGAACCGCGCCGACTGATGGCACAACGCAGAAGTGTACTGTTCACTCGCTCACACGCTCTGGCAATGTCCCGCGTTACCTCAGGGACCCCTCACAAGTGAGTCCGACTGAGAAGAGGCACTCAGGAGTCCCAAGTTTCAAAACCAACTAAAGGCTGTCCAGAGGGCCCAAGAAATGGCGAAACGCTACCACGTTCCCGCCCCGACTCGGGCGTCGCCTGCAGTAGCGGCTGCTAGGATGTCTCTCGTGGACACCCTGGTGGCTTAAACTCCTCAGGACCTTTGAATGAGGTTCTTGACTGACTTACCAACTGACTGGAGTACTATCCGAGTACTAGGCAGCACACTGCAATTACTGAAGTTGTATATTACTGGTACTCAGTGTGGTCGACCAACTTTCGGAAAATACTCTACGCCACGGCTAAAGTTACTCTACTTTGCCTCACACAGATTTTTTATTACCCTAAAATTTTATCGTACTCCTAAAAAGAGCTCATCGTAACAATAATAAAGTACAGACTATACTTCACTGTGATACATGTAAACGTTTGGTGGCGCTGAAGTCGGTGGCGGCTTCAGCACTTTGAAAATTAGTTTGGAAGGGAGATTAAGAAACATGAAAGACATCATATGGGAACAGAGAGCATTGCGGTATTTGTACAGAAAAAGCAGTAAATCAGTAAAAAAAAAGTCCTAGAGTCTCATAAAGCAAGTATAAGGCTGGCACTGTAAGTTACATTGTAGCAAAGATCGTTAAGCGAATTCCCATTTAGGCGGAAACTATATTGGATTGCAGCGGTGAAAAGAAAACCAGTTGTGAGTAGTTACCGAAAGCACAAAGAAGAAAAAAGTAATGCCAAATTTTACGATAATTTCCATAAAAACACTTTGCTGTTTGAAGCAAGGTCAGGTTGCCTCACAATGCGTAGTTATTTGTCGATATTAAATAAGGAAGAGAAATGTAAATGCGTGGTGAAGGCATGAAAAAGGAACGACGTTCTTAGTGAATGTATGTTAAGGCACTATCCTACATGAAGCCTTGAATTTTACGGCCAGCATTGGAAAGGCAAACGAGGTGGTGATAGACATAAGTAAAAGACGACTGGAGGACTGGTGGCGGAAAAGTTTGGCAAAAAAAAAAGCAGCTTCGCATTAGGGGTGCATGTTTCATAACAGCATGTTCCATTGTTATTCTTTGTACGTGCTCTTTATTACTATAATTCATTATTGCGTTGTTTACTCATCACTTAAGATGATTGTTTGCCTCTATTGTGCGCGCTTTCATGTTTGCATAACATTCCTGAATTTGTTTTCAAACCTTTAGGAAACGGTATTGTACTGTAGCCGCCACATAATTAAGTTGACTTTATCGGGGCGAAAGCGACTTACTCTGGACTGCGTCACCTTCTGAGTGAATAATATTCATTAGTACGCATGCAGCATCTACTGCAGATCTGTCAAGAAATATGTTTTGGCTAAAAATCTCAGGACATCATCCACAAATACCAAAGAATGATCTCGTAGTACAGGTTAAAGGTATATCTCACTTAGATATTACGAATGAGAGTTTGCATGTGCTGTGGAGCAGGTAAAAAAAATGATGTAGTTCTTTTGATGCATCGTGGCATTCATTGCGTGTTGGCTGTTCTTCCGTCAATAGGTCATTATATGTTAAATGCGTGCTCTGTATTTCAAATCAACTTGGAACTACCTCGACGAAACGCTCGTGTTGATGACATGTGTTCAATTGATAAAAGGCAAGTTTAATAATTCGTAGCTGATCGTTGGATTTCGCTTCACTTTGTTTAACCATATAAGTTATGACGCAGCATCATTAAAATAAAAAGGAACGGCGTTACACGAAGCAAACCTCAGTAGAGTGGCTTGTTAGGTGAGTTGGTTCATTCTTACGGCAGCTTTCGGTGCGAAATAGTTTACAGTGTGCGGTCGTCCGTCACTCGTGTTTATTTCGCTCCAGAAGCTACCGTAAGAAGCAAATCTAGTGCCTATTGTTACCAGTATACTGTAGTAGTCACTACTATTTTTTCATTATTTGCAATCAATTGATTAGTCATAATTATATTTGGAACTCAAAAAGTACTGGTCTAATTATTAAAATGTCAATGATGTGGACGTGTGCATGTTCAAATGGCATTCGACTGTGCCATTTTTCAGAACGTACTATTCGCATGCTCATTTTTTCCGGTTAATAAAGAAAGTCCACGAAATCTTAAATGTGACACGTGACTAGACAGCTGCGCGCATTAGCGTGCCTCGAAAAGCAGCGTCCTCAAACAGGCTCACTTTCAGGTAGTCAGTATCAATAAAAGAAATGTCGACAGAAAAAAAAAAAAAACGTGGATCGTGCTTGCCCCGCCGTGGTGGTCTAGTGGCTAAGGTACTCGGCTGCTGAACCACAAGTTGTGGGATCGAATCTCGGCTTCGGCGGCTACATTTCCGATGGAGGCGTAAATGTAGGCCCGTGTACTGAGATTTGGGTGCACGTTAAAGAACCCCAGGTGGTCGAAATTTCCGGAACCCTTCACTACGGCGTGTCTCATAATCAAATGGTGGTTTTAGGACGTTAAACCCCACAAATCAATCAATCAATCAATCAATCAATCAATCAATCAATCTATCTATAAATCAGCGAATTGTGCTATCTGCCACTTCCCGTCCGAACAAACACTCCACTTCTATCTTACGCAGCCAGGCTGTAATTGCAACAGGCTCCGGCCAAGCTAGTAATGATAACAGTTGGCCATAAACTACGGATCATGATAGGGACGTAAAGTCAATTGGAAGAAATTTCCGCATAATTGCGACACGTGTTGGCGCCCGCCCTGTACCCATGTCAATGTGTGGAACTTTGTCTCTGGCTACGAAACAGATGCAAAGTGGTTGCTTGCAGTAAACTGATTTGAGGGCGTGGCTTTTTTTTTTGCGGATGAAAGCGCAGTCAGGTGTTGTTTTTCATATTTCGCGGGCTTTCTTTATGAATAGGAAAAAAATGAACACGCAATTATTACGTGGTTGAAAGTAGCAGAAAGAGAGATAGAGATGTCGCTTTACAATGTGCACATGCGCCTCATTGACATTTTGGTAATTAGGTAAGCACTTTCTGAAATACAAAAATAAATATCATTACCAAAATTAGAAATGGATACTACAGTATATACTGGGAACAATATGCATTAGGTGTGGTTCGCGTTACGTGTTACGACACGGCATAACCAGCACTGACCTTGAAATGAATTTTTATTCTGGAATAGAGGGCTTATACCTGAGAAGCCAATCTTTCATGCCTGCGCACTGTGATGTATACGCACGTACGATGAGCCTGATGTAGGCTCGTACGATGAAACTGGCAAGAAATACAGTAGGGCAGTCTTTTTGCCACTCTTCTAAATTCAAGGAGTGCACAGGTGCGAAAGTTTGGCCGCTCATATAAGCGCCAGTTTCCTTAATAAAATTCATTCTTCAGTCAGGACTGTTTGCCATCGGTTGTGTATCTTCAGCTTAGTATTTTGCTCTGTCGCCTTCTCACGTTATTTCCAAGTGACGCACTTGACGGTGATATAAATGCGCATTACACAATTTTTTTCAGGAATATATACCCACTTGTGTGAACTGCCACCATCACCTGCGCAATGTGTGGGCTGTAGTGCATTCTTGCTTGTACCAGTAAATAAGAAGTAGTGAGCGACAATATTGTTGCGATAGCAGAAAATAATTTATTTATGTACACGTATAATACATGGCAAGCACCCACAAGAAGCACGGACTGAGCAAGGGTGGACAGAAGACGCAGACATCGTGGGAGCCACGAGGAACACGCAGCACGTACGAGGTTCGCAGGCAGGAGTGGAGTCGCTGGTCGGTTCCTTTTCGACCTGCATCAATGGGCCCGTCAGGGACGACTTGTCGAGGGGAACACTGACTGGCAATTCGCAGTACACAGAAACCGGCAGGACAGAAACTCTACTAAGAAAATTCGTAGTGCGAGAGAAGGCTACGTAAGAATTGGCGTTGGCCCATCGTAAGGGGAACTCTAAGTACTGTGGCTCTTGATACGAACATCGAAGACATCAAAAAGTGGCATAGTACTGTTATGAGTGGAAAATATTGCAAGTAAAAAAAAACCTTACTGGAACCACTGTCGCTTGTGGCACCAAGTCAGCTAGATTCTGTTTTTCCACAAAAGTTGCTTGAGATTCCACATGTGCTTGAGATTTTTGTATAGTTAGTTTAAATAATGTATATGTTTTATGAGTTGGTCGTGGTAAGCCCCCGCCGCAACGTCAAAAAACAAAAGCGAAAAAAGAAAGCCTGTGTTTTTGCAGCACGAATTTGCTCAGTATCGACAGTTGTTAGGAGCACTCGTTTATAGACTACGTAATTACATTATCAACCTCATAACGCAACTACTTTTCATGTACTATGCATTCGGACTATTCGGCGCACATTCTCGTTATGATATATATATATATATATGTATATATATATATATATATATATGTGTGTGTGTGTGTGTGTGTGTGTGTGTGTGTTTTCGGGAAGTTTTCCTGAGACTGAGACATGACACAATTATAAAACAGCGCAAAGGGGCGAGTCACACCCCCCCCCCCCCCCCACACACACACACTGTGCATCAAACAAATGAATGCTCGTGCGGGTTTCAATTTGGCGGGCGTCCTTTCCTGTGCTGATCAATTTAATAGAAAGATACTAAGGTAAAAAGCAGTTCTGACGTCGTTTATTTGCGTCCCCGCAGTGTATCCCGCTGGTCCCATAGAATGCCTAATATTCCTCTTGTTTTGATTTTAACATTTACACTTTCTTTTAATCGCCTGTGAAACTAGGAAAAAAGTGATTCTGGAGCAAAGTTTATGTATTATGAAAAACAAATTCCAGATCTAAGAAGAATATTAAGGGAATATTTATTGCGATTGTATTTTTTTTCGTTCAGAAATTTGAGAAGGACTAATGTTGTTCCTGCTGCAAATAAGGCTTTCAGTGGAGGCAAAAAGGCTTTTCGCTCATGTGCATAGATTTAAGTGCACGTTAGAGAACCCCAGGGGGTCAAACTTTTGTGAACCCTCCACTGCGGCGTCTCCCATAATCATATATTATGGTTTCGGGAATTTAAACATGAACAATACTCATTATTATTCTTTCAAATAAAGCATCTTCCTTCGTGTACTGTTATTTCACTGGTCCGCTGTGCTGCTGGTTCTCACTACAGCTTTGAGAAAACTTAAAAGTGCTTGTCGTTTTTGGTATGCTATCTTTGTAGGCTAAACTCGGACCTCTAACGGGTATGCTGCCGTCAAAACGAGACTCTACGTCACCGAAACGGGCACACGGTCATGCTTTTCTTTTTGGTACAGATTGGTCCTGCTCGATAAAGTAGCCAACGACGTCTTCCAAAAGTATGTCTTCCAGTTTTAGAACTGCAATCGCGTACTAGTATAATGAAGTGGTCTGCTCGCAATCCGTGCGTGGTCTGTTTACCATACGGTATATGAGCTTGCGATTCCTTATCATTTTGTGACGTGGGTGCGGCACTGGAGCCAATAGTGAGTGTAACAAGAACGGTCGGCGGCAGCAGTTATCCTCTGCAGTCCCCCGCTCTTCTCGGTTCCCAAACGAGCGCTGGAGCATGTGAGACGGCGGTGCTGCCCCCAAGATCGCTACTTAAGTCGAAAAGGTGTGTCTCGCACCGTTGATCACTCATCGAAGAACGCCCATGGTTGAAATTATTATGGGCGGCTTTACACGAGTGCTTTCGACGCCTGACGATAATATACATAACCAACGCACAGCATGTCTCACACGATCAACTGCTCACTGCTTAACCTATTTCGGGATAATACCTAAGTGTTCAAAGGATGGATAGTTATATTAGAACTGTAGGCATATACACTCCTATTATTTTAAAGCGTGCCACGTATATGTATAGGGCCAGTCGTCGGTGCATGATTTTCGTTTTAGAGAAGGAAATAAACATCACAACCCTAACCAAATATACGTTGGAGATGTGGTTTTAGCTGATTAGTTTGGTGACCTCAAGCCTTACTTGGCTGTAACGAAGCGTGCAGTAAGAGGCTGAGGTTTATTTAGACTGCATAAGGTGCCGTGACAGAATAACGTGCGTGATAACGCGGCCGGTTGTTTTCACTTCCGGCTCATAGAAGAGCGAGTACTTAGCCAGGAATTAGCCATGACGTGCACTTCAACAAAACCTGGCACGTACGTTAGTATTCAGAGGGGTTGTGGCGCGGACCAAGTCTTAGCCGTGGTATCCGTGTCCATGGTAATGATGATGCCCATGTCCACCACCGATGCCGTAGGCCGGCACAGTTTTTCCGTTCGCCGAGTGGTAAGGTGCGGCCGCCGGCAGGCTCGTCTTGGTGCCGGGCTCGTTCGTCTTGACCATGGCACGGAAGCCCCACTTGTCGGCCACGTAGTGCACCTGCCGGTGGCGGCCGTCGATGATCCCCAGGTAGTAGGAACCGTGCACGGGGCCGTACGCGGAGCCTGTCTCGTGGCGGCCGTTGATGGAGCCGTGGCCGTCGACAATGTCGTAGCCGAACTTGTAATGTCCATAGTCCTGCACAACATCTTACTCTTAAGTATTACTCATTACAGCATTTAGGGCTAAATCATAAAACAGAGGAAAAAAAATCGAGACCCTTCGCACTATTGTTAGCAAGCCTAACAGATGTCTGGATCTGGGCAGCCTACCTCGTTACTCTTTATTTTCCTCATTTTTCTTCTTTTCGTCTTTGTTTTTTCGATCTCTTTTTGTTTCTATTAATTTCCATTTTGTTCTTTTTCTCACCATTTCTTCCATTTTTAAACTCTCGTTGTCTGTCTTCCTTTTATTTCTCGCTTTCTCTTTCTCTTTTTTTCTCTTTCCGTCTTGCTCTCTCCTTTTCCTATGTTTTTGTGTCTATTTCTTTTTATATCTTTTTCTCTCGGTCTATTTTTTCTCTCAGTATTCCTTCCCTTTCTTTTTCTCTATTTCGTTCTTCCCTTTGTACCTGTCTTTTCCTTTTTATTTATGTGCTCGTTCTCTCGACCACTGCTGTTGTTGGATCTTACGCCGGACTAATCGGCGCTTGGGTTCCGGGAGCGTAGCGCAAGATGAAGAAGTGGACGAAGAGAGCGTGGGCCGGGTCATGATGCTGATTATTTTCTGTTTGCTTTGCATGGACTAACGGTCGAGTTAAACAGCCCCGATGTTAAAAAAAAGGGGATAGCGGATGTGGTACTGCAAGATGATTGCATGCTGGTAGTGCAGCATATTGTAAATTGTATGCGTGAACAAAGAGCGGGAGTAGAAAGAAAGATGTCGGTCCTGTCAACATTTTTCCTTGTGTTCCTGTTGTTTGTCCTTTCGTACTTCTTACAATATGATACAGCAACTTGGACGTAAAAATCTTTGGCATAGGGTACCACCTTTTTTTTTTCCGTCATAAGAACGAAAACGGCTTTGACTTGTGGAAGATAAACTGTTTACATGCGAAGAATCGAAATTCGACCAATTTGGCCCAAAATACTACAAGTAAAGCACCCAAAGGTACGGCTGGAGATGATGTGTTTGTTCTTCCTAGATGAGAACTTTTGGACTCACTGATATAGGGCTGTATATATGTATATATGCTATTTGGTTTTCTAATTTTTTTGTAACAATCAAGTGGAAAAAGGTAGCCGTCGCCTAGTATAATGGTGACAAACACTTCATTTTTATTTTTTTTGTTTAAATATGTTCATGTTTTGTGTTATGTTTTATTTTAAGTATTTTAGCACTTTCCTTGTATTATTTACGGGAGTGGAGAAAATCATTCCAGCAGGTACAGTTTGAGGGAACGGCAAAGTGACTACGAAAATGCAAGCATAAATACGTGCATGAGTGAACACTTGATTACGTGTAGTTCATACAGAACTTGTTTTCCTATAAAGACGAAACTGTGTTTTGCGCGGTCACATTGTAAGAAAGATTTCTTATGTCCATGTGTGTGTGTGCTTGAAGAACTAAATCTTGCGAATTAAAAAAAAGGTATGAACGATTACTTACATCTTGTTTTCTGTACTGTTTACTGTGACCTCCGTGATGACCTCCATGATAGCCTCCAAGAGCAACAGCCACCAAGGCAAACAGAACGGTCGTAGTAAGCTGAAATTACAGTGTGACAAAACCAAGTTGCAGACCCAACAAATGGTTGCTCGTGCAAAGTATCTCTCTGAGCAAAGAGCACGTTATAATGTTCAAGAGCACTAAATTCAATAACTTAGTTACACTATGCTAATCATACTACGTTTAAAAATTACAACCAGTTGATGGAGTTTCATGGCATTCTTTATCCACCACTACAACAAAGCGGGTTTCTAGAGCACTAATAGAATGCGTGGCAGTAATTGCTACGCCATCGTCTGCTATGGCATTGCCGAATAATTAGAGAGAAATACAGCATTGGCATGATTATGTATGAAGTAGCAAACACATTTTCAATTACTAGAAGGTTGTTAACATTGTACCGGTTTTTAAAGGTTGCCCTAAATTGCCAGTGCCTAATTATAGGCCCACTTTCCTATCACTCATTTGTTGAAAGCTTCTTAAGGATGTTCTGAATTCCACCTTAATAAATAGCCTCACTTATGTTTTTTTAACCGTGGAGAACTCCGACTACAGAAAAAAATTGCATATGAAACCTTATATATTGAATTTGATCGTGATATAGCATCCGCGTTGGCCAACAAAGGGGAAATTCATTGTTTGTAGTTGGATTTTTAAAATTCACTTTTAAGGGTACTTCATTAAGTTCTGATGAAAAAAAAACGGAAAATTGTAAACATTGACAAAGTCGTTTTGAGGTGGATTATGGACAACTCAACATGAACAAGCTTATTTGAGGCGATTCATGTTCATGTTGGTAACTTCAGGGGTACACCAAAGCCTACTTCTCTTCCTTGTGTAAACTAATTATGTTTCAGATGTAATCGAGAGTGGCATTGCATTGTTTATTGGTTATTGTATTTTTTATATACTAATTTGACCGATCGATTGGCTTCCATTAAGCTTCCGGAAAATTTCAGTCACGTAGGGACGTGGTGTAAAAATAATCACGTAGTACAAAATAACAATAAGTGTGTTCCCATCAGCTTTACTGAAAGGGTAAACAGTGTCGCGAATAAGTATGTTTTAAACAATAAAGTTGTTTGGAAAGACAAATACACGTATTTGGGCGTTATGTTTTCTGAAGGTGGCTGCGTCTGAACAAATGAAAAGCTGTTGTCAGGGCAGGAAAGGGTCTTGGCTTTCCGTGGCGAAACCTTGAAGGGACATCAAAAAGAAAAGCGATTTTTTGTGTGTTACAAAATCACAATTCCACAATTTCGAAAACGTCACTCTTACCACGAGAGCTAGAAAGCGCGCGCAGAGAAAATGCGGGCGGCGGCGCCACCTTGAGACTCCCGCACGAAACACCGGGACGTCATGAAGTTTGATGGCGTCTACTAGGTGCTACGTAGTTCCTAATTGGCTAAAATGAAATAAATTGTCATCTGAGGGAGCCATGGACCTTGCAAAGCTTCAAAAAATTTCTTGTAGAAAATTCACAAAATTACGTAAAATACACGTTGAATTGTTTGATGTCCCTTGAGGAGAATAGGGCGAGAAATTTCAAAATAAACCTTTAACTTTGATTTTGTCCTTCAATAATGAACTTGTGAGGGCGAAATTCAAGACATTAGAGTTCTCGCAGTACAGTTTTTGAATCTAAACCAAGTCGTTATATTACTTTAGTTACCGTTTAAGCACGTGACTAAGAAAGTAGACAGAGCACGTTCCATGCCTATGTCAGACTAATACGGATTATGCCTGTTCTGCATGGGATCCGATAAAATATGGTGATGCTGAAAGAGATGGAGAGATAGTGATCAACTGACAAGGAAATAGTGATAGACGTATATCTGAAAGTTGTCGAGACACGAATAGATATCTTCAGAAAATATCTTGAATAGGCTGAAGACTTACGCTTATTTTTTATTCACTTCAGCACGGGAATCAGTGTGGGAATTATAAAGTTAGACTATGCAAACTCAGGAGCAATCTTTTTAAAGTTAATTTTATTCAATTATACGGGCACTGTCGGTGGATTTTTGCAGTCAGTGCCACCGTCATGTTCTGTATAAAGTTCAAATTCATAAAATAGCCGCGCGCATCGAACGCTGTAAGCGCTAGCAAAAACACGCAAGCGCTGGGAACGAACTAGGTTGAACCAGATATGAAACAATCCGGCCGTCTCTCGCACGAAAGGTGCGTGCCGTACTATCGTCCCGCGTGCGAGGCCTGCCATCGATGGCTTCTCGAGCAGAGAGGAGACGCCCTGCTGCTGTTTCATCGGGCACAGCAGCTTGAAGGCGCGGGGGGGGGGGGGGGGTACAAGCATCAGTAGACATTTCGTATACGTGCTGTGCTCCCCCCCCCCCCCTTACTTGCTGACTTCAAATTGAGACAACAGACGACGCAAAAACAGCTTCGCTCTCTGGAGCCGTCGTATTCACTTTTTGAAAGGAATCTGCTACCACCAGATTCAGATCGCCACAAGAGTGGGTATTCATTGTTTAACTTTTTGTCGCAATAATGCCAACATAGGCTTTGCGACGGTATTTAAAACGAACAAAGAGACAAACAAAAACTTACAAACAAACAAGTATCTGCAACAAATGTTTTATATGCCTGCTTAGAATGTCACCATTTTGATCTTATCTGACCTTGTATCCCAAGTATGCGTCCACAAATAATCGTACTCTGCTTAAAGAAGCTGGCCGCTGTGAAGACGTACAGGTGCAATTTTACCGTGAGTGAAACACAGCAACTGACATTCATTGAAGAAGTGTGTGCTACGACTCTGAGCCTCTGCATACTTAAAAAGCTGACGCAATATTCATGTATAACAGCCTATATATTGTCTGCATGTCTAAAACTTTTAATTGTCATATGGATACGGATCTTTCTGTTATGATGAAGAGAACCACTTTTTTTAGTAACGCACTTGCACTTAAATATGGATATTACTTCTTCTAAGTTTTGTTAGACTTCACCGCAGTACACCTGGCTAACACATTGGGGAGCATTAAAAATTTATTGGAAAGGTCAACCGAGTTCTAGCGAATCTTCTTTGGCTACGTCAAAAGTTGCTGCTAAGTGTATGTTGTAAATGTGCGTCTTGTTCGATGGAGGCACCTTCTCGGTGTTTACACCGGAAGTTTCTCGGAACTCGCCTGTTAAAAAAAAATATATGTGGCATTTTTTAAGTACTGCCGTTGAGTTAGCTATTGCATTGCAGTAACCAATAAATGTCGGAAATAACAGTGACCAAGTTTTCCGGAGATGGATAATGCACCACTCTGTGAATTTACCATATTAACAGAACAGCGAAACGTCCTTGTGTTGTCTCAGTTGTCCGAATAAGCTCCACCATAACATACTGGTGCTACAATATTACCAGCAAAAATTTCAGACGCAGTAGAGGATTCAAATAAATTATGGCTAACGAGCCAACGAATATGGATCTGCAATGTAATCACTAAACAGTCAGGAAGGAGCCAGGAAAGAAGACTGTGCGGATGCCCACAAACGAGACCTAAGCAGTTATTGCGTGGAACTAATTTTCAATGTACGTTTATGGTGGCGTTTACCTGTTTATCATGTGCTGGAGTGCATTAGGAAAGACTGTTATTTATTGAAGTCCAAGCGTACGTGTACCATTTCCACCTTCATAGTTTGGAAGCATTGTCTCTCAATTATTCGGCTCCCACCGCTTATAAAAACACTAGAAGTTTTGCTGCAGATAAACTACTTTTTGATTTAGATTCTTTCAACGCACGAAATAGAACTCGGTAAAACTACGCAGATAAGCACACAATAACTTATTTGAAAAGATTGCCGTCAAATGCTTGTGCTCCACATTACCTCAACGCTAGTTTCCAGTAGCGAGGCTGCAGTAATTGATGATCTGTACAGTAGCGTATAACATATCAATAAAAAAATCTCAGTGCGACAATAACAACAAAGCGTCTAAACACAATGCACAGGAGTAGGAAGAGGAGAAAAAGGAAGAGCTTGCAAGGAAGGGCTTACTTGTTATTAAATTGAATATTTTTCGTATATTTGCTATTTCATTTCTTTATTTTTGGTTTTAACTTTCATAGATTACCTAAAATAACATTTACCAGTCTCTACGTTGCATTCTTGGCCAATCCCCCAAAGTGGGTACGTGCCATGTATCTAGAATAGCAAAGCAAAGCAAAGCAAAAGGCATTGAGGTTAGCCAGTTCTCAGACCGGCTGCCTAGCTTGAGCTGGGGAGGGGGATGAGAGAAGTTAAAGATGACAGAAGAGAGATGTTCGAAAATTAAAAGCAGAAGAAAAAAGCAATAAAAGAAACAATAATGGACGTCATCCTAATTTACGTTTATGTCCTGGAATAAGTGATCAAATTAAATATGCTTTTCTAAGATCAATGATTCATCAAACTAAGTTAGAGCGGATACCGAAAACCGACTTAGAGAGAAGGGTGCGTTATCCACGTACATAAACATCAAGTGGAAAAACTGCGGGCTCTTTCTGCGTCGCATTCTCCTGGTGTGTCATTAATTATTCACAGTGCAGAACAAAAATCTTCTTTACGTGGTTTCGCGCCATCTAACTCGTGGAAAATTTTCCAGCTCCTTAGCATTACCAAATTCTCAGCTATTCTTGATACGGCGCTCATGTCTTTAACACATATTATTTAACTCTGATATTTCCACAACGTAATAATGTTTTAACCATCTGTTACCTTCTTTACGCGTAACGTTCCCCGCCCAACTTTATTTTTGGCCATCTTAACGTCAAATAAAAAACTGCCTTCATTTTTTTCTTCTTCTCACTACTACTGGCTGGGGACCATGGCCACCATACAACTCCACTCAATTATGAAGTTGCGACCGTACTGCCAGACCTAGAATTTCGCTTTAATTTTTGCATTGAGAAGGTTCATACGCGTAGGGCTTTGCTGCACAGGCTTTCTGTGTAAGCTCCACCCACGCAGTTGTCTTAACGAGGTATGACAGCTGAGGGTGTTTCTGGATGCGTATTCCGATTGCCCTTGCCTCATGGGATAGACCAAATTTAGAGTTCCGCTTTTATCAATCCATCATATGGAGAATCATAATCACAGAGGCAAAATTTTGTCGCCTCCAGAAAATTGAAAATAAATTTGTACCAAAATGATTTCGCAATCAGGCACGCTTTGTCGTACGCTTGTATTCCAGCAGAGATGCACGAGGACATCGCACCAATTCGGAGCATAGAAGTGCAGAGCTCGTCAACGTAGGCCGATTCTTGACAAGCTTTGCACTTGGATGAAGGAAATAAAACCTGTCAGCGCGTCCTGAAATGACTCACGAACAAACACAGAAAGCTATTCCAGGATGTCATCCATTTACCTCAGTACTGAAGTCGTTGTGCAAGAGTGGCGTTGTTCGGTAAATGTGCGACACCGAGGAAAATTCCTGCCTGGGACGTAGTGCGAGCGAAGTATCTCAGTGGTGCCTTACGTATATACGAGAGCGGCGGAAGTGGCTCCGTCGCTGCGGAAGGCGGGCGAGCAAAAGCGCGCCTGACTGCGCGGCAGTGTCCGTTCTCTCACCTGACTGACCATGCTTGCAATGTCCACAGTGGCTGGTGCGGATGAATTGGCACGGCGCGCTGTCCGGCTTTTATAGCTGTCCCAGTAAGCTGTGGCTCGCCCTTTCCAAAAGTCATTGAATCGTTACGAATTCTCTTTTGTCAGTTGCTGATTTCGGAAGAGTGACCGAGTCGCTACTACTAAACTCACTGCACCACCGGGCTCTGATGTGACGTCATTGAATGTCCACTTCTCAAGAAGGCTTTTCCTGAAAACGTCGACATAACTTATGCGGGAATTTCTGACCACTTGTGTCTAGATTTGCTATGTTTGTAGTCTGCTGGAGCTTGCCGACTCTCTCCAAATTCTTCAGCATTCTTTTGGCTGCATAGTTGGCCATTGAGCCACGTATAGTGCAGACGACGCCTAGTTTACCTGTAGAGTTGTTTTCCATCAGCAGATGAACATCGCCTTGCGAGAGCAGGATGGATGGGGAGGAGGTGAGGCTTATGTGAACAAAAGATACAAGAAAATGATGGCCACTTTTGAAGGAGAGAAAAAGAAAAGCTGCAATAATTTTTTGGTAGGTAAGGCAAACAAAATTCAGTCCAGGTGTTCAACAACAGTGTTATGCAGTGTCACTGATTTAAAAAAAATTCTTTATTTTAGCAATATTTCACTCAATAAGCATATTTGTCCAAATTAGTGGAAGCATTTTCCACATCAGAATGCGCGTCGCTTGTCCTGAGCCGTTATTTACGGATGTAGATATTGCCACGCTGCTTTCCTCAAGTTTTGTTATCACCCCGTTACACTACGCTAAGCGCAAACCGCGCCTAGGATGTTCCAGAGGCTTCGAGACTGTAGTGGATCGTTTTGTTAAGATTACGCCCACTTCGTGAACAATACAGGTTATTCGAGAACCTACGTCGCCGCAAGCGATAATGCTAGAATATTCGATGGCAAGGGTATAAATTCCGACATGATTCACCGCTTGTCAGTTGATCGACGGCCGACGCTCTGCCCGCTGCTACCAGTGCCAGTGTCTCGCTGTAATCTAACTTTCCTTTTACGTGGCCGCAAGTTCGGTGCGAATGAACAGTTTATTATTCGACCAGCAGTTTTCTCCTTTCATTCACGTCACGACCCCGTAACATTTGGTGGAGGTGCTTCCGTACATGTACCGAAGGCCCTCCACCCCGCCAACCTCAACCTGCGAGCAAGCCGCCGCCAACAAGAGCTACCTCCGGAGTATGGGGTTCTACCCAATAACAGTCGCAAGCCGAAGGCCACCACCACTACTGAATGAACTATGACAGCCCCTGTATTAACGCCCGCCATAGTTGTAATGCAGCAGCCAAAGCAGCCACCCATCTTCCAAGGATCTTCATTTGAAGAAACGGAGACCTGGCTCGAGACGTACGACCGAGTAGCAGCCTTGAACCAGTGAGACCCGGAAGAAAAGCTGCGCCACGTCTACTTCTACCACAGAACACCTACTATTTTAGAGAACGGAAACTGTATCTTTGGGCTGTTGTACCAAAATAACATGCAAATAGGTAGCGGCGGCGTACTGAACTGCAGCACCGCGAGGCGAGATGGCGCTGGTAGTACTATCATCATAATTAAACAGACGCATTTTTCGCTGCAGGTGGGGCATAGAGCTAATATACGACCCGTATAAACAGTTTATTATTGGACCTGCAGTTTTCTCCCTTCATGCACGTCACGACCCCGCGACAATATTGACTCTGAAATATATTGTCTCACCTTCTCTGAAGGCTTGGCTCGTTTCTGACAGAATTGTTGTATTTCGTTTTTATTTATTCACGGCGCATACCCACTGTGGAATATTATTCTGGTTTTATCATTATCATCATCAGTCAGACTATGCCCACTGCAAGGCAAAAGCCTCTTCCATGTTACGCCAGCCAACCCGGTCCTATGATATAGGCTGGCATGTTATACCCGCTGACTTTTTAATCTAATCTGTCCGCCTTACTGTCTGTCTACCCCTCAAACGTTTGCTTTATTTTTGAATCTAGTCATTTACCCTTTCTAACCAGCAGGTTTTTGCCTGTGCACTACATGCCCGGACCAGGCCTATTTCTTCTTGATTTCGTGCAACATGTCCTTAACACCCATTTGTTTCCTGACCCACCCTCCTCCGTTTCTGTCTCTTAAGGTTACTGTATCACTTTTATTTCCAGTGCTCACTCTGTCGCCCTGAATTCAAGTTGAACCCTCTTTTTAAGCAACCAGATTTTCGCTCCATAGGTATTGGTAAGGTTCAGCTATTGTATAACTTCTATACCTTCTCCTTGACGGATAAGGGTACGGCAATGTTAATTATGCAAGAATGCTTGCCGAATGGGCTCCACCCTATGCTTATTCTTCTAGTTATTTCTGTCCTATGGTGCCGCTACACGATTACGACTTTTCCGAAGGTGTATTCCTTTATAACTTCCACTGCACTACCTATCGCAAAGCGTATTCTCTTCCGGGACTGTCGCCAATGCATTTTTATCCCAATGCTATTCATCTCGAGCTAACAGGGTTTTTTTCAGGGCCCTAGATTGTGAAACGCTGATGATATGAGTTCACAGAGAGTACCTAAGTCACCTTCGATTCGCTGATGACATCGCATTGATGAGGAACTCAGGAGACTAATGGTAACTCGTGATTGCTGATTTGGATAAGGAAAGTAGAAGTGTAAGTCTGATGATAAATATGCAGAAAACTGAAGTCAGGTTTCGGTTCATGTTAAACAGTAGCTAATTTGATTCCGAGATCAGCACATTTTGAAAAAAAATGAATGAAAAATAGATTCCCGACAATTTCGTGCAGTAATCACTTGAGTCCATTATTGATTCCTTGATGGCTGAGCTATCATTCCAGTGGTAGCATTATGGCGAACAGTTTCTCAATCAATAACTGGTGTTCTGTGTGTCAAGATGGCGATATAAGCCGCAGTGAGGATGCGGTTTTGACAACCGGGTGGTACGTAAAATACACTAGAATCAATGTACGTTGGTGTTCTCTTATTTTGCCTCTACTGCAGTGCGGCCGCCGTAGCAGGGAATAGAATTTGAGTCCTGGAAATAAGCAGCATGACCTTTTACCTTGAAGGCTACTACGGCGGTACTTAAGTGATGGTAAAGAAGAAACAGCCAGACGAAAAGGAAAGGTGGGGATGTTAATCTGTCTAGAAGGACTTGTGTGCTACCCTAAACAAGGAAAAGGGGTTGGGGCCCCGCCACGGTGGTCTAGTGGCTAAGGTACTCTGCTGCTGACCCGCAGGTCGCAGGATTGAATCCCGCCGGCGACGGCTGCATTTCCGATGGAGGCGGAAATGTTGTAGGCCCATGTGCTCAGATTTGGGTGCACGTTAAAGAACCCCAGGTGGTCGAAATTCCCGGAGCCCTCCACTACGGCGTCTCTCATAATCGTATGGTGGTTTTGGGACGTTCCACCCCACATATCAATTGATTAAAAAAGGTTGAGGAGTTGTAATGATGAAAAAAGAAAGAAGAGAGCACGCACACAGAAAGGCAAACTTCGCAGCCATCATAACAGCGATAGTCTATAATCACCGGTGCAAGTTTGTTGCTTTCAAGATGTTGAGCACCTTCTTCGTCGCCTTCACCCACGATGACCTCTACGGTCGACATTCCAGAATGGTTTCTGTCGTCATCGATCTCTGGTCTACGCGAGCTGAAACATAAAAACCTAAATGCGCTTGTTATGCACGAAAGAATGTTTCGCACTGAAATAAGCTTCGACACGTTAACGTTAATAGCTCACCTGGCGGAATGCACTTCAATGTTTTGAAAACGTGGGGAGGTTGAAAGCCTTTTCCTTTGAGACGACGGCCACGGAAACAAAATAGCATCCCCTCTCCCCTCCGTTCCATTGTATACAGTCCGATTGTTTGCGTGCGTACAATGACCCGGTTATGTTCTGCTGCACATGCTTTGTTTATATGGTGTCATTCAAGTGACAGTTCAAGGTTGCATGTTGTTTGCATATCTTTTGTTGTTCAGAACGTGGTACAATTTTGCTGGGAAGTGAATCCAGCCCCGAACTACCCACAGCTTGACATGCACAAAACTTCTGCTCGTTAACATAGGCAGGAGTTAATGAAAATGAGCACTTTATCCAAATTGAGTGGAATTGCATTGTCATTGTCGAAGAAAGTGGACCTAAAGTGTGTCCGCTCAGAGCAGTCGGATTTCTGAAGAAAAAAAAAGTTTGAACAGAAGCGCTAAAATTTTCTTCCCGAAATGCCCACGAAATCTACTTGATTACTGGTAAAATAAAACCTGCCGTTTGTTGTGGTTTTGCCTTCGTTTTAAAACAAGCCTCACTTCATTGTCTATATCTCTTGAACGTGTCGTAAAGAATGCGTGAGGTACATCTATTCGAAAGCATTATATTGAGTTACCTTTGCGTAAACTTTTTGCACTGGTACATGACATACCTAAGTTAGGGCCAATAATCTGCCGGACAATTAGTAAAACTTTTCGTCCATCCATTACCGTTAGTATGAACTCTAATAGCTTGTAAGGCCTCTCAACGCCGAGTTGAGCATTTCGCAAGCGCTGAACCAGAAGCATCGGTGAAAAATTTCGGGGCCGCTTTGCACTAATATTTAACAACAAAATAAGGATGATTTTAAAACGCGTTTCGAAATGCTCTATAGATTGTTGCCGATTCATGCACCTAGCCGAGAACTGCTCAGATGCCCCGGGGAGAATTTTTCACTTGTAAAGGGTTTCTCTTGATCTGGATGATTGCGGAACTCGTGCTTGAGTCCAGACCAACAATTCAGACTTCTGGTAATTCAGAAGCAAGAAGGCTTTCAAAACGCAATAACAATTGCTAGAGATTTCGATTTGCGTGTGTAAAGACAGTTGCTGGGACTTGCGTGTAGTAAATTATTACTACGTAAATATAGTAACGCTGCTTTAGAGCCAGAGCGTTAAAGAACCAGTTTCGCAGAAATACCATTGTCAGCGTCGGCGTCGTTGGTTGCGAGCGAAAAATTGGT